GCATCCGATTCTTTTTTTACTCATACAATTTTTGACAGCGAATTTTACCTTTTTTTAAATTTAATATCTTCAGCTTCTCTGATTGCTAACAGTTATTATGCCCTAGTACAAATTTTAAAAAGTATTTTTTAGATAAGATATATCAAATCAATAAACTTACCTACTGCTAACAATCAAAATGATAAAACAAATGATTATTATTCCATAGCATACAATAATTATCAAATCACAGCAGTCATTTCTGCACTGCAAATATAACGATTATTATGTTTTGAATTCTAAATCATTAATAGTCAGATTTGTTCAGGTCAAGCATTTCATAGAAAAGTTAAGCCCAGATTTGTCAACTTATAAACAGATGAATATAATGACGATTGTTCAATATGACAGATGTTTTCTGTATGACGTATTTTATTAAAATCATTCTCTGACTTTTATCAGTTTTAAACAACAAATAAATTTGTTACTCACGCGGTTATCCTATAGTTCTGTAGAATGACAAAAAATTTATATATTAAATTTAGAAAAATATGATTTGCTCATGCTTTTTCCTAAATTTTTTTGTTATTTATAATCTGGGCCAATTAAAATAATACTAGATTTCTATCTAGTATTATTTTAAGTTCATTTCGAGAATTTGAAGAAAATAAGAAGTGAGCTTGAAAAATTTTTCGAGGCAATATTTTTGGATAAATATTGAAATCCGAAAAAATTCAAACAGCAGACTTATTTTCATAAAAAAAATGCAGAAGAGATTGTACTGATTGTCACACGTCATCTTTTCCTCTTTTTTCTAACATACTGTAAGAAAATCCTTTTTTTTCATTTCACTTTTTTGATATATGTGTGAATTTCCATCGTTGTATGACAAATGCCACCACAGGCATGTCATTCATTATTATCACTCATTAACAACTTTTTTTCTGTAATCTATCTTTCCCTTTTGCTCTCAAAATTTTTTTCAAAAAATATCAATAATTGTTGATTTTGTTCAAACTATTCTAAAATTTCCGGCTTATCTGCATTTGAAGATTTATTTCAATAAATGATTTCCTTAGCAATCCTTACTTTAAACCCTCTAAACAAATATGCATTGTTTAAACTAATTTCATCCGTATGATTTAAAGAGCAAATGATCTATTAAGTTAATTAAATTGTTTATGAGAGATAAGTTCACTTTAAAAAATCTTTACATTGATTTTAGAAGAGGTGATCTCAGAAACAGATAATATCAGTTCAGTAGTGAAGAAATTTTCAGTGGAAATCGAATCTAATAAATTCAAGCAACAAGAGTTATAAAGGTTAATATTTGATCGGAGATCCAATTACCATTTTAAGAAAGTGGAAAATTTTTTTGAAAAAATGACCGTTATGCTATTTGAAAAAAAAGCATATAACATATTTAATCAAAATGACCTTACAAATTTTTTTCATAAAGAATCGAATAATCTGAAAAGTAATTCAGAGTAAAAAATAAATACCGCATGGGAAATTTCTCCGTTCTGTCCTATTTCTGAAATTGGAGCATGTTCTAAATAAATTTGATTTTTATACATTCCGCTCAAATATGTTCTGTTACAGTGATTTCTCAACTAGTTTTTTAAATTAAAACTTCACAAGTTTCTTTAAAAAATTTAAACGTACTCGATGATTTATCATTTTTCATAATAAGACACAATCAGTCAATCGCTCATATTTTTTGAAGCGAACAATACTAAAAAATTGAAGATCTAAAAATTAATCATAGCTTAATAATAAAATAGCATAAATTTTAAAGACATATTTATAACGTGAAAAAGCAATTTTAGTTTTTTTGCTGTTTTAGTGGATGAAGTTAAAAAACAACATGTAGATTAATCCATACAAATAGAATTTTTGTGTTTTTGAAGCTCTGTCCTTCTCATGATAGCTTTCGATCTTTTAAGCAAAAGCAAAATGAATTGGTAGATCAGAAAATTTGGCAACAATTTCAAAATTCATTCCAAAATTACTTGAACATTCCAATACTCATACATTGCTTAACTATTTCAGGTTTTTTTGATTTCTATTAACAAGTCATTCTCACTTGTTAGACAATTTGATTTTATAATTTAGTAAAATTTTTATTGAAAAAAGTGAGTTCATTTATCTGACGATAACAATAAAATACCGAATTTTTTTTCAAGCTTCGATGCCTGATTATTTTTCTTTGACGAATACATTTATATTAATTTTAATTGAATTCCAATTTTTTAGAAATAATTGCGAAAAACTAATTGAAGTTTTGCAGAAACTTCAGAGTGATAGTAAAACTGATAGTAAAAGTGATAGTAAAAGTGATAGCAAATTTGAATCACTGCATTAGAATAAAGTTGAAATAAAAATAAAAAAATTGAAATAGTCAAGATAAAAGGTTAGTTTTTAGTTTTAATTTTTTATTAAAAACATTAGTTTTTAATAAAGTGCAAAAATTGAAATTAAGCGAATACTAATTTTGCAACAATGTTGTGAAAATTAATAAATTCTTGGCAGTTTGTAAAAATTGCAACATCGATGATAAGAAAAATATGAAAAGGGCATTTTTTACTAAAATTCTTCCTGTGAATAAGACTACTAATGTTTCTTTTTTTTTCTTTTTGTAAATTCAACTAACAAACATTTAAATATTTTTTAACTTGTTAAATACATTACATCTGAATTTGAAGAGTTTTTTTTTGCATTTTCAAGCATTTAACAATTGTACATTGCTTATCATTTTCAATTTTCACTGATTTGTATTCATGATCAAAATTTTTTATCTGGATTACGCAGCAAAATTCAAAAGAATTATGACAAGGAAATCTTCAAACTAACAAATGTGCAGAAGCTGAGAGAAGAGTTCAGGTTCAATTACAGATTAATGTTGATCGAATTTGAGTGAGAACGATCAGTTGGACTTTCACTTTTAATAAATGATTGATACTTTTACTATTGCTTCACCGTCATTGATAGTTCAATAAATACAACAATATTTCCATCAGTGAAGTTTAAAAATCGTTTTAAAATGGAAACTTCCAAAGTTAGGAAAAAAAATCTGCACAGCTGTTAATAACAGAAATAAATGTTAACAGAATGACATGGCGCATATCCACGTGTACGAACCCTATCATTATAGCAAGATTAATTGGAATTAAAAAATTCATTAACTTTTGAGAAACTATACAATTCTTAATTTGTTAAAAACCTTATTGCATCCGACCGAATAGTTTGAACCTAATTTTCTAATTCTATTAAACGTTTTTTAAATTATCTAGAGTTTAAACTTTAGAAGATATATATATAGCTTAAAGTTCCGGCAGCTTAAAAGGACAGATTTAGTATATATCAGCCAATATATATAACCTAAAAAAAAGGTTACATTGGTAAGAAATTCCAGAAAGAGAAGAAAAAAGTTTTAAAATATTCTTTCATTAAAAAGGTCGCCATAACCTATAACCGTCGCAGGTTGTCATTGTGGACTCTTGATTAGTCATGCAGTGGTCACTAAATTTGCTGCCATGAAACAGAGATGTTTTTCCGCAGTAATCTGCTTCCGCCTTTACCTCTAAGTTAGCTTTGATACTTGAAGTGCCGGTCATACATCCAACACTAAAAATAGTCATTAACAGAATGAATGAAATAACAATGGACTGTTGTTTTTTAAAATTTAAAGAAGAATTTTCATCATTTAAAATTTTTAAAGTAAATTGCTCAAAGCATATCGCTATATTTTCGAATGATTAATAATTTTATCTCTTTATATTTAAATAAGTGCACTATTTGCTTGAAAAATTTCCAAACATATTGTTGGCGAAGTTTGTATAAACGACAACAGCGTACTTTTAAAATGTGTTAGAAAGTATTATCAAACTCATTAATAAGGTTTTCCAATAATATAATTTAAAATGTTGGTGTAAATTGCTCAAAAAGAAATGAAAACTTGTGCGATCAATAAAGTTACTGGCATTTTTTCAAAACATTTGCTTTTTGTGGTCATATATAGGCATATTTCTACCGACTCAGTTAGACAAACGCTACATATCTCTAACACATGCGAGGCAGCACTACGTCTTGAATTAATTAATTATAAGTATGAATTTAACTCATAGTTAAAATAATAACTGTGTAGGGATATTGATCGCCTCAAAATAAAGAGCCATAAGTTTATGCAATGTGATTAAAACAATCGTAAATGACTTCCAAACAGGAGATACTTTAGTAGAGTTCATGACCTTTAATCATTATGACTATACAAAGCGATGCAGAGAAATCGAGATGATGAACACAGGAAGATGACATACTTTCATAACTTCTCACTTCATCTCGTCAATTTCAAATCTTTGATGACCCGTGAGCTTTTGTTTAGAAAATTAACAACAATTCTAGAAATGTTGTGATTCAGTTTGTAATCTCACTGTCACACTTACCCACAGGCCTACCTTCATCTTATTCACCTGGTTGTGTGATTGAGTATCTGAAAAGTTGAAGGGTGTATTATAGTCTGATAACTGTTGCATGCAGGATTGCTGTGGCGCACGCTGTTCTCATCGGTATGATCCCACGGAAACGATACTGACATTCTGTGGTACTGCAATTCAGATAATAAGCTTAAGCTTTTTAACTATAATTTTTCAGCCTTATAAAAATTCTCATAAATTCGAGATCAATCTGGCCATTCCAAAATTAGTTTTGCTCCCCCTTCCATTCATAAATTTTGTTGCATTAATATCGTTGTTTTGTTAAAGAGCATATTTCAAGTTTAACCCGAAAAAAAGCATAGAGATGTTTATGAAAAGGATAACATGATAGCATGAATGAGAATTTGATTTTTACAGATTAAGTTACTTAAACTTGATTTCAAGCAATAAAAATTGCTAAAAATTATTATGAAAAAATTATGTTGGAGTTTTTCACTGAGAATAAGCTGAAAATCTTGTATAAAGGAGTTGGAGAATATTTTAAAAAACTCCTCTTCTTTTACCCGTATATTTATTTTTTCATTACTATTGAACGGTTACCTTCATGACCGGTTCACTGATAAGTAATTGTAAACGAGCATTCAAATGACTTGTGAGACGATTATTGTATTCTCGAAAATCATCTGGCCATTTTTCTAGCAATGTATAATTTTGCATTTCGCGTACACAGTCTGAGAAACCATCTACAAAGTATGGTAGCGAAAAGGCTTGTTTTGTTTCTGAAAATAGTTATCATTGTTATTTCAATAAAATAGAAAAAGTTTACTCAAAATTTTGAACCCATTCTACAGTATTTTAAGAGACATCAATAAATTTACAATTTTCTAAATTCATTCAAAAATTATATTTTAAATGAAAACCAAAAAATTCATATTAAGAGCATTTTCATCGCCGTCTAATATTGAATTCTAAATAAGGAGGATTTTTCAATTTTTCTTCAAAGACTCTAACTTTTACACTACTGATTTTAATTTATCATTTTCCTAAAAAAAAAAAATGAAACTAACTGTTATTGGCAGCAATACGTCTTTTCAGCTGTCTAATATAAGCGACACTCATTTCCAAAATATCTGCTTTCTCCCATTTAGAATGGTTTAGAGACTTGAAATGATTAAAAAATTTCATTCTTCAAACATTTAAGAAAGACTGAGTTACTCATTACATTTTCGCCTGACTTATTCTGATTGAGTTTTAAAATTTTAAGCTAAAGATCTAAAAAAGTTTGGTTGTGTTATGTTATCAAACAATGGAAAAGATTGGAAAATACAGTGTTAACAGCCGTATTCCTAATAAAAGATGGCAAAGACTTGAAATGTTAAAAGTTAAATAGTAAAAAGTAAGTTGAATTCAGATAAATAAAAGTAATTAATATTTAAAAAATAACCCCATTTTTAACATCATCCACTAGCATTTGTTTCATCTCAAAAAGGCACTTATTGATTCGTGCTCTTCGCTTCCTCTCCATCAATGGTTTATTTGCCTAAAAATCCTCGTAAATAATCCAAAAAAAATTCTCAGCATTTCAAATCTCAAATATTAAACTATGACAATCATTAAAATTTGCATGCAACCACTAAATGCAACACTTGGATGATTTGAATTTTAAGTACAATATTTTAATTTTAAATTCATTTACTTGAAAGTAAAGTCCTGATGAGCAATTAAGTTTGTCTTGCAAACGAACTTGAAATATGCTGTCAAAATTTCTCTAAGTTCTATGGTTAAAACTGAATTGTTTTAGTGTCGAATTTAATTTTATTACCTTTTTTTGTTAAAATTACCTTTTTTGTTAAAATTTTTTTCTGTTCCGAATCCAATTTTTCAGCATCAACTCGTAACATTGGTTGTTGCCTTAGTTATTTTTAAAAATTTTCGATTGATAACAAGATGAGTTTTTACCATAAAATTGAGCAATCACTGAAGTTGATTTGATTTAGGGTAATTAAATATAAGCCTAGCCTACTAATGTTATAAAAGAAAACGCGATAATCTCAAGTTATATAGAAATGATTCATTGAAGGATCGATGGATTTCGTACATTCATTGCTATATTTGAATTTTATTAAATCACAAGCTCCAAGTTATTTCAAATATAGTTTTTTTTAATTATAACCAAAATATAAAGTTTTCCATTCCGATTTTGAAGCATTTTTGGTCTAATTATAAACAGCAACATATGCTGAAAACTATTTTAACTCTTTTCAAAAATTTGGTCACAGGAAACAATCCTGAGAAAGTTTCAAAATAATAATAACAAGTCCTCAAAAAAAGGACTGCGGTAAAGAACTAGAATTTAGCAGTTCGAAACTATATTAACAGGAGATTAAGACTCTATCAATAGTAGATCAAAATTGAATCAAGATTGGTTCAAAACTGAGTTGATAGTAAATTAAAATTATATTGACAACTGAGAGTTTTCGGTTCAGAACTGAAGCTCACTGAGAATTCAGTTCAGAATAAAAGCAAAGTAGTGAAACGTACTTGTCGAAAAAAAAACACTTTTTGTGGTTTCAGGAAACTAATATATTATGCTCATTGTTTTCCAATTTTCAAAAAATGCATTGGTGAGGATAAGAGACGTATGAGACCGAACTTAATCAGAATTTTCCAAAATTTTGCAAACTTCTAACTACCTGATTCTATAAGTCTTGAATTTTGAAAAAGCTGACATCATATTATTTCTTAATTTCACCTGAGTGCATTCTCGAAGAGGAACTAAAAAAATGTCATAGTGTGGATATTTGAAAAAAAATAACAGAACTAAAAATGAGATTTTTTGAAGATATTTTCAAAACTTTTTAGAACAGCATCTGAAATAAACTTGTTGATAATTTAATAATGTGAGATAACGATTCACTGTAGACAAATTTATTGCTGTTTTGTGTAAATAAAAGAAATAAGAATCCCCTGTAAACAAGCCCTAAATCAAATTCCAAAACAACAAATAATGTAAGTCTGACTTCGAAAATTATAAAAGTTAAATATCGTGGATCTCTCATAAAACATGAAATCTGATAGGTTTTTAAGAAAAATGAATCAAGAATTTTGATGAAAAGATTTGACTTCTGATAATCTGAAGTACTCTTTTACTGTAAGATTAATTTGTTCCTCTAGGTATTTAAGGATATGTGAAGAAATAAAAGAAAAGAAGAGAGGTTAAGTAAAGAGTAATGCGGTCCATATATGTTGTAGTAGTGCCTTAAGTTTTCGTCTCATTTTGCACATCTCCAGTCATGAAATATTATTTCAGTTATCGTAATTCTCTGTTTGAATCATTCGAAATCCGTTAAATTTTCTTTGTAACTATTATTATTTGATAGTAACATTTTTTTTGCTGGAAACAATTTATATATTTGCATCAAATGATCAGTTTCTTTTAATTTCTGCTGAAAAGGAAAGAAAAAAAACAGTCAAAGTGAGAGCTCTCATTTCTATGAAAAATATGAAAAATACGTCCCTACGTGGTAATAATATAGGCCACGTCCATACGTGATAATGCTGATACCAGTAGACATTCTAGTAAATACATTAGTCATAATGATGGTGGTAACAGTGATAGCAATAATGGTCTTGGTCTTGGTGAGAATAGTGACTTTCATACCAGTAATTGTATTTGTAATAGTTAAGATGATTACGATGATAATGACGGCAATAGAAACCTCATCGCCAATCATGTCGTTTGAAATACCATTAATGCAGAATGATTAACATGAATCAAATTGATAGTCATGGCAGAAGACGCTTCGGGGTTTACGGTATGAGTCGTGTGGTAGCATTGTAAATAGTCAATGAGTGACGCGAACGAAGTTTTATGAAATTGATAAGAAGACAGGTGGTAGAAGGAACAGATAGGTGTGTGGGATCGGTGACAGCAATAGCTAAAGTGAGTGATAATTGACGGAGGAAGAAGAGAAAAGAAAATAGGAGATGAAATGAATTTTGTTAAAGGCCATTCCGAGGATGCGACAACTATCGCCAACATCATCACGTCGCCGATAAGGATGGATCTGAAGAAGGAAAAGAAATGAATAGGTTGATCGAAGTACTCCAACGCATTTCATGGGCAACCTAACGGCTGATGCGATGCTCATTTGCCATAATGAGAGTGATTTATAAGGCATTACTGATCAAATGAATCTGATAAATTATTGGCACACCGTAGGCACACTTATTCATTTCACTGATCCTCCTCCCCACCTCTTCCTTTTCTCTCCTCTTCATTTCACCGTATCAGCTCACTCTCATTTCATTAAACTTCCAAAGTTTATTAATTGCACTGAACTTATTCATTTACTTACCTTTTTTTCTATTGTTTTACCAAATTCATCAATAATAAAGATAGAAGAATAAATCATTAACAGGCTTTGCATAGAGTACTAACAACAGAAACATCCCTTTTAAAATTAAACTCTATCACTATATTTCATAATTATTTGTAAATTATACAAACTGTGCTCAATTCATACAACCGTTTGGAAATTTATTCTAACAAAAATTCCTCGATTATCAGAATTATTTCGTTCTAGAAGTATATATAATTTGATGAGGATAAATGTCTGTTATCATTATTTCAGACCAATGTGATTTTATGATAAACGGAAATAAAAAGTGGATGTCCATGCAAAACTGATTATTAAAATCAAATTTTAATCTTACATTTAGTTTAGCATGAAGTGCAAATATGCATTATTTTTCACAAAAAAATTTTCCTCATTTTGATGGATTTAGAAGTGGTTTGTAGCTAAATGGAAAAGTAGGCTTAAGTGACTAGCATTTTTTTCTTTACCTTCTTATGCTATTTACTTCACTTTACTTTACTGGTAATTTTAGTTTCATGAAGAAGGTTTATGAATAAATGATAACAAAGACACGCAAAAAAAGTATGTCCTTCACTGAATATTCGTTCTGGTGAAACTTCATCTCCGATTTAAAATATTAAGATTCTAATTATTATAAATGTTGTCATGATTTTTTTTTCTACTGGAAGTGTAACAAGTGACATCTTTTACTAGAAATTTTAATAAAATGCGCTTTTTATTATTGATTTGTCGCAAATTGCTCATTGGTAAAAAAGCTGCAAATTTCTCCAAAATCTAACAAGTTCGAGTGGCTACTAATATGATTTAAAATATTATTAATTTTATCATTTTAGGCACATTAAAAAACAGGCATTATTTTTCTCAAATTGCTTTTTTGATGAAGCAGCTACTAACAAAGTGGAACTAATACAGCAAATTATGATTAAAAGTAGTTTAAAAAAGTCGAAACTATTGCATGATGAGCTTCGTAAACTGCATACCGTTTTCAATAAAAGGAAGTATTTTCATTAAAAAAAAATTTGAAATCAGTTATTTCAAGGTTTTAATATTGATTAATCTAATGAATTAATATGACGAAGTTCAGTTAGTGGTATTCCTGAAATCGCTGCAGTCTGATCCTTGATATATTGTTCTTAGTCTTATTGCAACTCAATTATTGCAACTCAACTTGTTCAAGCCTTATATTTTGTAATGCATTGAATTTAAAAAAAAAATGTTTGGGACTTCTCGAAACATTCGTGATACAGATTACTACTGTTCAATATCTGAAAACGAGTGGTAATGTGCAAGATCAATAATAGTAAAGTCCTAGTAGTTGGTGCTGAGAAATTACGGTAAACAGTTTACATTATGATAGAATGAGCTGAAATCTTTAGAACATTTTGTAGGCAAAACACTTTTTTCAACTTTGCTTAACTCCAGTATTATTTGGCGCCATAAATCTGAATATATTTTTACAGACTTTTAGTTTGGATACATTTAAAATGATGACCGGAGGTAATCCGAAAATGCGAGAAAGTTTAAGAAAAAAAAAACTTTGGGACTTTTACTCAGTTTCATTTTACAGCTAATTTATTAGTTTGATAAATACTTAAAGTTGTGCTTGAAACAATCGTTTAGGACGGTAACAGTAAAATATTCGGTTTCAAAATTTTAAAGAACCAGCACCTTTCTAGAGGATTTCTACTTAGGCATTTGTTTTCTTTCACTGAGGTCCGAAACACAGAGAGTACTCTCGAGAATTTTTGTTGAACTTTTTATTCCCTGCAATTTTTACCTCAACCACCGCTGCATTGTAATATAAGTGCCAGCAATATTTACCGTATTATTTTCGTCGAGAAATTTGTTTTGATCGAATGAAAAGCAAAATTTTTCAACAAAGCAAAATTTCTCTAGCAACGATATTTTTAAACATCTCAAAAGGTGCAGCAATTCTTTACGAATTACATCAAAGTTATATTTGCATAATTAGTATTGCATATTGAAAGACAAGAAAAGACGAAATCCATGGATTTCATATCCATTTGTTACAGATAAGATTTTGATCGACAGATGATGGTGAAGGCATTGGAGCTGGACAGAGATGGTAGGGTAAGTGAACATGATATTTATTATCAGTATGGTACATCTGACCCTCGTTCATTAGAACTAATAATGGCTTCTTTTGAGTGACAAATTGCTGTTTGTTCTATGCTCGGTCAATCTCGATAGGTCTTGATTTGATATGGCATATCGTTGCACTGTACCACGTTCACTTTATTGACATTAATTTGTCTCTACTCGACTTAAAATCTTTGGGAGAATAGACCTTCTATTTAATTTAACCAAATTCAATCACGGTCACTATCATTGGGCACTACTAAAAATTTTTTATATTCCTATTAAAAAAAATTTTAAACAGGGTAACTGCAAACTTAATTTGCTTAACCTAGGGCGATGGTCTGTGTCTTGTTTTATAAAAGCTGTTCCATCAAATGTATTTAAGGAGTTTGCAAGACTGACTTGAGGTAAAAATTCTACGACAGAAATGATTTATTTCATATGTATACTGAAGCTGGGAACAGTAACGGATCACATATATCACTGTACTCTACCCTAACCTTTGATGTTTGTAATCCGGCCTTCGGCAAAATCAGATAAATAGGTGATCTTTCTGAATCACTACTAATTAAATTCATGAAAAAATATTTCGTAACTTAATCGAAATCAAATCACTTTAAAAAACAAAGCCGTTGCAACACCCACTAACTTAAACAGTAATCTTGAATTGTACCCTTGGACAGTAATCTGGTACCCAACCCACAACTTTGCTTGTAATTATGCTTTCACATTCAGGAACAACTGTTATGGATCTTTAACATTTTTGCTTCTGCAACTTTTTTGAAAATAACCACTAATTTTGCAAGCCATGTTCTTCTGTCGTATAAAATACGTGTGCATAATATATTGAACAGATTGATAGCTTCATAACATTAAGGCAAATTTTTTCCCAGTCCAACGACCAACGAAAAATCTTGCAGAAAAACAGTAGTAGAAAAAATCACGGCGTGGAAAGGCATCTTATTGCAGCGCAATATATTCACAAATTAACTACTTACTGATAAGAGATAAAAACAGCCTTTGCTGTATGAATGAGGTTAACAAACATAATTTGCTAGGACACAAAAATATCTCAACATAAATGCTTTGAAAGATATAAATAAACGGAACATAGTAAACATAAATGGAAAAGAAAAACTAGAAAAAAGGAATACATAGAAACATTACGATTTTTGCCATAAAAATTTAGCTGACAGCAATTTGCAATCTTGCACAAATTATTCTTGAAGCACATCAAAATTTTGGAAATTTTAAATACTTAAAACTGATGCGAAAATATAAAAATGGCAAAAAATATAAAATGAATTTATAAATCACACTAATACGAGAAACGAATCAAATCTGGCAGCGTAATAAAACATAAGCACTTCTTCCAATGATTGCGCAGAAACCGGAACACTTCTTACTACAATAAATTTTCACGCCATTATACGGGAAGTTATTGAACAAGAGATGCAACTGTTAGAATCGCGAGTAAGAACAATATTTTATGAAAATCCAAGATCTTCGTAAATGTTTCAACTTTCCATTGAAGCCAACAAAGTTTTGCGCAGACAATTTCACAGAGTAAGATCATGTGTTCATTTATCTATTTCAGAAGGCACGCCACTGATAAAAGATTACAATACATGAACGTACAAATAAAGCAGATTTAATGTGTCATATTCAGAGAGCGTGTTCATAGCACTGATTATTCAGGGCTTTTCGAAAAGAACAGCATCAATTTTGAAGAATATATGAACATCACATCAGGCTGCAACAACATGTTGATGAGCCCGCCTGACGTCTGCTTACTTCAGGGTGACGACGGTTGATTTGACGAACAAGGTCGTAGAAAACCTTAAGACAAATTTTAGAGTAACATCAAAGCAGCTAGCTGGATGATTATATAATACAGCTGACTTTTGATTTGACTACTTTGGAATCCTTTTATAACTGCATAACTCTTTCAGAATATCCTTTTGTTAGGCTAGCAGCAGCTTGAAGTCTGAACTTCTGAGTTAAACGCAAAGCATAATGTTTTTTTGACTTATCTAAAATTTCTTTCAAATATATTTCTTTCCCGAGTTTGCACCTCATTGAGACATTCAGATAAGTTGTTGAATTTGGTTTTGTGGAAATAATTAAAGATTTCAGGTGACACGTTGCTGTAGACCCTAACAGCCATAAGGAATCTGATATAGAGCTTACTTAAAATTGAAAAACTTATATCCATACTTCGTTAACATTAATTTTTGCTTTAGCTGAAGTTTCAAGAAAAGCACTGTTAAATGAACGTGCTAAATTAGATCCTTGGTCTTTGCCCACAACACGCTCATCTTCTAGATCACATTTGTTTCCAACAAGTATCATCGGTACCTGAAACAGACAGCGAAAATAGTTCAAGAATAAGTATGATTATAAAATCCTAGCATTAATATAAAATCAAATTAAAAGACACGAAATATCGTTTCATTTGTAAAATGGCAGAAGTTCATGACAATGCAATCACCACAAATGTTAATTATTTCCCTAAAGGACGAATCTTACAGTGTTACGGATCTTATTATTCCAGTAGCTGAAAGGCAGCATCCTACATACATTATTCAAATATAATAAAATGCAGAACTGACTTCCTCCGTATCCTTGACACGTAAGATTTGTTCCCTCAAATCAGTGAGGTCACTGAAAGTCGTCTGTGCCGTAATGGAGTAAACCAAGATAAAGCCTTGACCATTTTTCATATACAAATCACGCATAGCTGTGAATTGCTCCTGAACAAAATTGCGGAAATATTCTCATTTTTATAATGATTTGTCACAACACTGAAAATTTCAACTTGGGACGGTCCCTAAAAAACAGAAAAGTAACAACTAACAGTGCCAGCAGTATCCAGAATTTCGAGCATGCACTGCTGACCGTCAACTTCAACTTGCTTTCGATAACTGTCCTCAATTGTTGGATCATACTTTTCCACAAATATGCCTTGCACAAACTGCACGGTCTACAAAAATAAAATGAATTTGAATGGTCAGTTTATCAAACTGAAAGCATCTGCAAGTTTCCACAAATTTTTTGAGAATCCAACTCACCAACGCACTTTTTCCAACACCACCACTTCCCAACACAACAATTTTATATTCACGCATCCTCTGGAAGACTACACGATCTACTAAAATAAAATGAATTTAAACAGACAGTATATTAATTTAAAAACATTCGTGAAATCGACAACTTGATAATGCATCTTTTAAATGAGAAATATTTTTGAATAGAAAAGAATGTTCTCAGGAAAGAAACACGAAGAAAAGTGCGGAAATTCGACACTGTTCAAAAAAACAAAATGACTTGTACGAAATGATTTTAAATCTTGCGACCCATATAACAAGACAATAGAAAGAATCCAGCGTGAAGCCAACACAGATCCAATAACGCCAGAAGATGACTCAATAACCAGATGATTTCTTTCCACATTTAACAATTTTCTTGCTAATACAATTCTAATATACAATTTTATGCTAATTCAAGACTGCAATTTTATGCTCTAATTAGAGACTTTTTTCAGTAACTAATGCAATATACTTTGAAAAGAACGTGTTCAGCATACGAATAAGGCATGTGGGAATATAGGAATACACAGCTGAATCCTACCGTTACATCAAGTTTAAGATTTTTGCCATATTTACTTTAATAAAACCTGTAAAAAAGCCTATAAATACGTTCCTAAAGAAAATTCCCAGAACAGTGACCAACACATTCCACCTCAGGCCATTTCAAAAGTAAGCTTCAACTTCTCCACCACCTCACAATGTTACATCAAATTTCCGAGTTAGTCCGATTTTTTCATGCTGTCCCTGTTTGGATTACACGGAGCATACACACTGTGCAAAATCTGAACCCATTTAGTTTACAGTATTGGCAGTAGTTTTGAGGAATTTAGACTATGAGTATTTTTATGTACGGCTGATATGAGTGATCTTATCTTTGAGTCTTTTCCTTTCTCGAGAAAAGGATAAGGAATAGATGGGAAAAGGTCTAAATTAATCACCTCTTAGTAATATGTTAATTTTTATGGTTAGCCTTGAATGGTATTATTGCCATAATTTTTTTGCAGTTCCTTTAATGGAGTGTATGGCATACTTCTTTTATTGAGAAAACTGCATTGGTGGAAGATGATTCATGTTTTTATTGATGAAAACACATAATTAAACAATGCTAGGTTATAAAAATGCTCTAAGAAATAGTACAAACAACATTGCATTTACCATCTAATTAGGCTTTCATAAGAATCACAGTTATACTGTTGCTAGTGAAATTAGTTACATTTCATACAGCCTTAGATGAAAGAACTATGTTTACAGAAATGACGAACATAATAGGTATCTCTGTTATAAAGAGAGGAATTTCAATGGATTTTTCGGTTTTAGTATAAAGACATAAGAACTTTTCAGTGTAATACATTTTGATCTATCCAGAAGCACTACCATGTAGTAGTAACAGGGCCTAGCCTGTTACATATTTTAATGTCAAAATTAGTTAAGAGGATATAAAGCAATAAAATGACGGCAAACAAATATACAGAGGAGGGATTATAAGTTGTAATATAACTTTCGAATAGCATAAAAAGAATAAAAGGAAAGAATGTGAGATACTTAGAGAGTGAATGCATTTAGATAAGCCATAAGTGACTCATTCAGTGTAGCAAGTATTATTGGCTCGAAATGTTTATGAAGTCTTTTCTCGTGATTCTTTTAGTAGCGTTTATGACCTTTAAAAAATAAGTGTTAAAGCATATTTATCATTCATAACATATGGCATTGCTTGGAATGGCCAAGAGTATAATGTAACAACGGGACAGGAACATCGCTTGACATCTATGCATTCCACTTCTTAGTACTCATACCATCGTCCTTTTTGTAATATGTGCTTACCGAAGCAGTTAGTGAACAGAAAGATGAAAAAGATACTGGACACTTACCTCTCACCATCAATTATCTAACCCCGCTTAAAGATGACCTTCAAGTAATTGTCAACATATTCCCATAGAAATAAAGTGGCAATTAACTGATAGGCAAAATGAATTAATCTTTCTGATAAGTTTAAATGTTCTTGACAAGCAGCAGATGAATGAATTAATGAATTAATTAATTAATCTCTCCAATGATTCAGGCTCAATGAATGAAAACCGCTAATAAAAAACCTTCATTTATAATATAATATCTAGTGATCCAGTGTTTCGACTATCAAACAGCTGCAGAGAATATTTTCTTCTGCAAAGACTTTAATTGCCCTTAAAGCTTCAGCTGGTGATACATCCTCTTTCTTAACTTTGTTTTGATGTTCCGTACAAAGATCATATTACTTTTGCTGAATTGAAGCTTATAAATATCACATTACTTTTGCTGAATTGAAATGAAAGTCCCGGACATATTTTATCAATATAAAAAAATTATTATATTATTTTTGCATTTGCTGAATTGAATTGAAGGTCCCGAACAATTACTTTTTTGGAGATGAACAATACAAATCTGTTTGTCAGTAATCAGCTTGCAACCCATTTCCCATGTTATGCGCCAGTATTTCTTTTTGTAAACGTAAAAGGTTCTTTTCCTTCTTTATGCGTAATAGAAAATTTTTGTTCAGTACTTTAGGCTGTAGTCTTTATCTCTTGTGAGAAGTCAAAAATCACAGCAAAGTAAGGGAAGCGTGGGAAGCATAGATTAGAAGTTAAGATAATCCCCAGGAGTTTGTTCAACTTTAATACTATTTTCATGAGTGTGGTCGAGCTCTACTGATATATGATGTAATTTTATCTCGAATCATTTGTGAAGATTCAATAGAATTCTGAATGCAATAATTTTTAGAACTGGGATAACGAAATGAATTCTGCAACAAGTCGATTGCTCTGAAGATATTCATTTATTTGCGAAATGTGTTGTAATGCATGGTAATAACGAAGAATTTGAATTGTCATTTTCAGATGCTACCCTCTAGTTTGTGTTAGCCTCCATATGTTAATCCCTTAAAATCATGTCCTTAATACGTCTTCAGTATTCAGTGTTAAATGAGCTTATAACGTTGTAGAAATGTAAAAATTAATCGACGGGTGTCCTGTAAGAGCCACCATTAAGATACTGCAACTGTGCAACTAAGTAAATACTTTTACCTCTTGTTTAACTAGCAAATCGTTTTAACTTGTGAAAAAAAAGTTCTGCATATCTTAGTGAATAACTGAACAAGTTTTGCATAGCGTTACAAGTCTAAGGAATATTATAGGCATTGCAGTTAGGCTAGAAAAAAACTTGAAACCAGTACACCAGTACTCCGTTGGAACCATTTTAGAACCGAACGCGGGAACATAATACAAAAAAACTGTCATTTCTTCACGTTTTTTGGGTAAGACTTTCAAATCTCTATATTCATATTAAAGATATTTGCTGAACAAGTTTGATATCCAAGGATTCCACTCAAGATAAATAAGATAATTTCATTCTTGATACTTATCTTGTGTGGGAAAAAAGATCTAGACATCGACTAATAAAACATGTTTGGGCTAAGTGGCTTAATTGCACCTCTTAGTCCTTAACTATTCATACCAAAAATTTGATATTTCGCCCCAAAAGCTTTGAAACATGTTGTAAAAAAACCGCTACATGAATTCCCGATATGCATAACTTTATGAACACTACTACCATGAAAATCAGTAGAAAAATGTTTGACAGTGGCCTAATCAAACCGTCATAAGCCATATTGAACAAAATGTGGAGAGGAACAACATAAAATTAGAGATACATAACTCCATTTAATGAAAGCATAAGTAATGCATACAAACTGTTCGGATAAAAATTGATATTTTTGAAAAAAAGTGGACAAACAGGATACCCGAACACAAAGAGAAAGTAAATAAAGCGCCACCTGGCAACAAAACCTAATACGGGGGACTTGAATGTTTGCAAAATGCTTCCTGAATCAAATCCAACTTCGAGCAGGTCAGCATTTTTTGTAGATGCTAACTCTATAAATCAGACTTAAACCAATTATATCAGTCAAACTTAAATCTAAATGAGGTCTGAGAAGCAAAATAACAATTAACAATAAAGGACTTGGAATAAAACTTCTGTTATCCGATAGAGTTTCACAAGAGAATCATTTTTGATCTGACTACCGAAAGGAGTGGTTATTTTCGAATTACAAAAATTTTTAAATGGGTAGAGTAATAACAAACCAACATTAGCTCCTGCCAATCTATAAGGTAGCGATTTTAATTTTTAGCCAAGCAAATTTATAAAAAGCTTTGCTACTATATTATGATGATTTAACTCGTAGTTAACGAAGTTCAACTGTTGTAAGCATTTACCCAAACACAGTCTTAATAATTCAATGCAACCAAGAAAGTCAAGAACATATGTAAAATGCTTATTATGGACTTACATCAGAAGGAAGTCTCCAAATACATATTTATTAACAACAAGAATAATTGCAAAAAAAAGCACCTTTCTTATTGGCATAAATAGTCACTGTGGTTTCAAATCCTTGCTGATTCGATATGCATGTGTATTGTTCCAATCAAATTTCACACCCGTTACGGGCAACTGACGGCGCAGAGCTTTGAACGTTGTGGCAGACATTTGTTGGTAGTTTTCTTGGACTGCATCCTGAAAATGATGTTCCAACAGCTTAATAGAAGTTTTCCAAATTTTCATTCCAAATCCAAATCCCCATTCTGCCATTTATTAATCCCTGTTAAAGTAAAGAAACTTGCCTGATACTTCGATTCTTCATCCCAAATGAATCTGAACACATCTTTTGCGGTCTGTGTGAAGTCGGCCTGAAAATTTATTTTAGAATTATTTTATTTTTCTTTTCTTTTTTTCCCTCCCCATAACAAAGACATTCAAAACAAATTTATAAAAACTAACAGTGTATGTAACTTTGACAGATGTTTCCTTTGTCGATACAAGTTGAACATTGCCGTCTTCGTAATAATGTACATGTACTTTGATGATTCCTTTAATTTCACACTGCTGGTTTTTGCCATCTGCGATAGGTATTGTCCACTGCGAACGCCATCGCCCATTCCTAAGTAAGTAAAAAGAGGTAGCTTAAAATACACAATTATAAAAACCAAATGTATGAATCCTACCATTATAGAACTGGTTCTTTTGCTCAGTGTTTTATTTGTCATTATAATGGTAAAAAAAGAACTTATTAAGCAAGAAAGCACACCACACCATATTTCTCGGAGATATCATTCTTCATCGAGTAGTTGATACTGTGATAAATTTGAAAGTTTGTATTCCTGAACTGACCGATAGCTTCATTAATTATATAGCAAAATAATCAATGACAATATTTTACCAGAAATTTTTGGGTTGATAACGATGACTTTCGATACATAACGTCAATGAGTCATTGTTCACGAACACTGCTGCTATACCCGTTTCTTCATAGTGACTGTCAATGTATTTGTCGGCTTCCTGCATAGTTAGTTGCAATATTTACAAGACAGAAACAAATATTTGTTAAAAAACAATGAAAAAAAAATTCCGTTTAAAAAAACAATGCATCGTATCCACTGGATGATATTACCCACATTTCCATACATTTTTTGATTTTTAATTTTCAAAAAAACAACAAGATATTTTTAATAAACCACAAAATAAAAGATTTATATTATGAGCGGTAACCAACTACATAAATTTCAGACGACAAACCTCTTGAATTGCTTTCCGCCAAGTTTCAAAACTGACGTCATTTGCGCTTTCTGTCTGAATATCAGTAGCTTCTTTCCGTAAATGTTCATATTTGAATGAATTTCTTGATCTTGGATCGTAAAAACGGCCATTCGGCATTTCATTGAATGGTGTGATTAAAGTCTGCGATCAAAACTTTATAGAATTCCTGATTTATGTAAGTTTTAATTTCACATTAGCGGCTTCTCAACTAAATCCCCTAACACCTCTGTAATTAATAAAAGATTTCTCAGTGCTCTAAAATGTATCTTACGGCATAAACAAATGTGAAATAGAGTCTAACACTTTGGAGCGGTTATTTTTTACAAAATGGTACTGGAAACCGTTAGAGAAAATTCCAGTAAATTCCAAAAATTAAGTTTAACATTCCTAAGTACAATACTAAAATAAAAAAAAAGGTTTGCAATTTCATAAACTAAAATGAATGGCACCTGTTTGTCAACGCTTTCCAACTTAACAGGGATAAACTGCTCCTTATTGTATTGTGCGAATGCAGCCGCACAGCCATCTTTCAGTAGGTTATCATTGTTCAGTAACATACGCACATCGTTAAAAACCTATGAAACAAACCGTCATATTTCCACGCATTAGTAAATTCCAACAACATAGTTTTCAAAAATGTCTTTTAGCTCAAATACCTTTTAGAAACCCTGAACAAACGAACTTCGCTAACAAAGACACCATAATCCAAGAATATGTGCAAAATGTTGAATAATAAAGACACCCATTCCAGAACTTCTTGAACAGACTGCAATAATACTGCTGCATGTTAGCTAGTAGAGCCCATTAATTGATATCCTAATTGTCAGAATTAAAACAAATAATCTGACAATTGACACATCTTTTTAAAGAACCACGTGAAGAGCAATACGTTAGTAACGAGAATGTGCTGGACGCATTCCACTGAACAGTCGCAACATCATGGTGAATGTCATTGAAAAAATATATCTTATTTTTCAACTGTTACTCATATCAAAAACTTAGAGCTGTACTTGCCATGAATTTGAAATTCTCATCAAATTTCCTTTTGTTATTAAGAACAGCTAACAGTAGTAAAGATATTTCAGATTATACAGTTAAGTATGATAACAAATTAAAAGACACTTAATCAAAACCTCATTAAACTCTCCAGGAGGAGAATGCAGGAGAAAATTGGAAACAATCCGTATATTATCGTTCCCACTGACCACGTTTTCTTCTGCCATTTTCTTGTCTTTTGCACAAAGAAGCTGCAACGAATTAGGCCCTGCTCTGCAATAATTTTTAAATCATTTAAAATATGAACTCAAAGTATTCATTTTTATGAGACTTCCAACTGCAGCAGGCCAAACTGCCCTCTCAAAACAGTACCATCCAAATTGATACACCCCCCCCACCCACAATATTCTCATCAATCAGCTAAAATCTACACTCTCACAACATGCACCAAGTGACAATAAATCTCTTCAAGACCTAAATTTTACAAATCCCTGCTTTTACAACAGCATTATTCGATTCCGAACAAATTGAGTGAAAACCCGTGACAATATTGATGTCACTGAGAATTCAAGTGCTGCAAGACATAGATAATGTAGATTGGCGGCAGTTGGCACCACCATAGGTCGGACTGAGGAGTTTGTGAAGATGTGAGAAGTAAATGATTACGAGAAAGTTCACCTTGTGCAATTCACTTTCATACAGCAGGTGTCATTAATCATTCTTATTATTCATCAAACATCAAAAATTAATTAATAAAGTGTGACTGAGATGTTCGACGAGAACTACCAAATCAGTAAACGTTAGTTAAATATTTATAAATTTCTTTTTTAAAACTTCGGAATTTTAGTGGACAGTAACCCTCTTCTCTTCTGCTACCGAAAAGTACTAATCCTTTTCAGACACGGAATTCATTATCATCACCTAATCTGCAAATAGTACCCATAATTAACCCAGTATTTTTATGCTTTCTCCAGTGCACTTTTGGCGTGGAAATCGAACGTTAGCTATAACAAAGATAGAAACGAAAAGTCAGGGAAAAAGATTTGGAATGAAGCAGCTGTCAAACAAATTTCGAATGGTTTTTTTACTTTGAGAGTTTTATACCAGCTGTGTTCTGATCATTGCTCTCAAAACTATTACTAATCACCTTCACAAGAATTCAACCTTAAAAGAGGATTGGATAAATGAGGTTCAAAGTAAAATCGATTTGGTGAGTGAAAATATGATAAAAAATGATAAGGTACATTGGGAATTGTGCGCGGCTAGGAAGATCACCTTCGAAGCTGACCACAAAAGTGCTATCGAAATTTACCTTGTTAATCTTAAATTCCTTTTCTTGTAGCACTTTTAAGATTCCCAGCTCTGATAAATACCGAAATCACCAAATTCCTCGTATAAGTAAACGAACTAGGGCAGTCCTCAAGTGACGGATAACTTCATTATTCATTTCAGATTTTAACCAAGTCGAACTGAAAGTTTTGAAAGTAGAACATAAACATTACAATGCATAATTACAAGTCACAAAGCATAACTTGTGTGACTTTTTATTTTTCCTAAAATATTTGCCACCTTAAAAAAATTTAGGGGACATCACAAAATGTAGCGAATGGTTTGTCCGACTTTAATAACTCAGTGTCTTAAAAATGACTAATGATATTGCCTTCCACTGATGACTTTGTTTTGTTGATCATTTATCTCTCATCTGTGTATTTAAAATTCTTCCATTTTTCGGCCAAAAATATTTCCTCAAGCGACAAATTATTTCACTCAATAAAAATGACTATATTTGAAACACTTCACAGCTCGCTTTAGAATTTACGTTTTTCGCTAATTTTTTTGCGTCTTTTACTTTTTAAAATGCTCCAGGCAATTCCGGTATAGAATAATGCATGAACCAAACAAAACAAAAAAAAAGATTAATTAAGAAAAGCACACATACAAAAGAATTAAACGCATTAAAAGAGCATTGCAATCGGACCGATTTACCAGTCAGTATTTTGAAACATATCCTTGGTTTTTTGACAAAACAAACTAGTAATTTGTAATAATTAAATGCATAAAATTAAGAATTAAGGCTCAGAAATTCAAGATCATAATAAATAACAATCTTAAAAAAACTTAAAATTTCAACTTTTGCGCTATGGACTAATCTGACGCCCACAAAAATTATCTGGAAAACAGACAAGCTAGTCGCAACCAAATCACAGCATGACATCGATGAATCTAAGATACGAGATGATATTGGCAGTGAGTAATCAATACCCTCAATTAACCACAAACGGTTTGCCAATTTTATGCCTCTCTTCGCCTGATAAATTCAATTCTTTACGTTGCATTTCACGCTCACTCATGTTTTCTTTTCTTCGTCGCTTTAAGTCTTTTCCAGCCTGGACAAACAAGAACACATTTATCGCCATTATTACACCACAGGCAGTTAAGACTTTACGTAGCAATTCATGAGCTTTGTTAGTCTGAAATGCATGAAAAGATTGGTCATCAAAGCAGAGTCTCAATATATTTTTAAATCCTTCAGAATTTTGGGATGGACTTCAAAACATACTATTTTATAACGCTAAATACACTTCCACAGCCAGATGTACTATTTTGATACCTTCATATAGTCAGACGTGTTACTCCACAATATCTCCCGACCGCCAATAACACTTCGATGTGTTATTTTTTCCAGATCAATAATCTTCTTCTGTATCCTGAAACAAGTAACAATTTTTTCTCTACGTAACTTCAATAAACTTAATTTCCAAAAGATCATATATTCCAGGAACAAGTATACACATATTTTTTCATACAATTTGAACATTCTCCTTTAATGAACAGAACCAAAAAGTTAACTTACTCTTCAGTTTGTCTTTTAATTGGCTTCGAGATGTTTTGCTGCCCGTATAAAATGTGACGTGCGCGATGCGCATGACTGATATTGACTTGCCTTTTTAAAACCTCAAGCATTTCAGACAGCTGCTGTAAACGTTCTGTAATTTACCAAAGTACATATTCTAATTTCGAAATGAACCATGCTCCTCAACTGAATGACGAACTGAAAGAACATACGGAACGACCTTGCATCACAACTCACCACGACTCACGTAAGTGAGGAAAGTCACCAATGAAAATATCCGATCCCATTGAAGCGACACGATTTTACTTGGAAGCACGGCGTTGACAACCGCTCGTAATTAGTTTGGAAATGTTCACTTTACGTACATAGGGTGTTTCATGCGTCGTTAATTAAATCTAATAATTAAATATTTGAATATATGCATCAAGAAAGTCGGTTTATGGAAAAAGAATTCACAGTGTTGCTTTCAGGAAAACATGTTTCAGTCGCTGCGATTGTTGCCTAACATTGTTAAACAGAAATACGTTATATTTTTCTCTAAATAATTTTTGATAATGTAGTTTGATTTTAGATTAATTTGGATGGGAGAGTGCAGGAGACTTTTTGAATATTTCGTTATCGTTGGCTTGGAAGATGGTGCTGAAGATTTGGTACCTACAGCTCAGGAATGTGGCTGCCGGAATTCAGCTCCTTTGGCCCCAATTACTGATATCTGCGTGATCTTCCCTGGTCTGGGCGAAACGGTATTATTGTGTCTATTTTAAGCTAAACTTGAAACTAAGATGCACTATAATCGCCCTGTTCATGTTATCTCTTCCAGGTTCCAGATGGATTTGAACGTATCACAAGTACACCGATGGGATACGCAGCTGATCTGAACCACGGTTCATTACGGACACCGTCAGTTTTTTTATGTTTTCGCCGAGGGTATCACAAGCCACCTTTGGTTGATATCGGTTAGTTTTGCAATATATTCACTAATAGTATTTGCTATAACTTTGACTTGTGATTTATTATGACTTCATTTCAACCCTTATGTTCAGGTGTGTTGGATGAAGGTCGCGGAGAAAAGCCAATGCTTGACTCGAACACCGTATTAACGACTCCTTTCGGCCGTTCTGCCAATGTTAACAATGCCTCACCAGGTATCGATTTATTACTTCTCTGAACAATTTCCTTTTTTTAAAGAATTCCCTAGGTTCAACTAACTTTGCAATGAACTACTTCTGACTTTTATTTAAGGTGTTTTCCTGACATATCGCCGTGCACAAGCCAATAGTGCTCCAAGCCAGCTTGTCGTTACTCATATCTGTGTCATTTTGGCAAATAAAGGAGAGACGGCTCCACATACTTACTATAAAATTCCAAAAAACTTAAACAAGGTTGGAATGTCATGTTATATTGCGTGGAGTAAATTAGTAATTGATATATGTTTGGAACTTTATAGTAAACTTCTCTTATTACTTTTTAAAAAAATTCTGCAATAGATTTCTTTTTCAATTTAAATTTCATCAAGAATTTTTTAATTCACTGGTACAGTTCATAAAAGTTATGATTTTTAAACTGCTTTATTCATAAAAATTATGAATAAAGCAGTTTAATGTCTCACCCATTTTATTTTTTTAAAAATGTTTTCTCATATTTCAATGATAAATAAAATATCATTGAAGGAACTATTACCAGGAAGAACTCTGTTTCAGGGCATGGTTGGTTCTGATGTATTTCTGTGCTATAAAAAATCACAGGGAACATCGAAACGAATAGCTTACAAACCAATAGTTCTGGATCATTTTCCTTCAGATAACAAATTTACATTGGCTCAGAATATACCGATGTTTTGCCTTCCAGTGGGTGCATTAATCGAATGTTGGCCAGCAAGGTGTCAACCACCGGACAAATTATTCTCTACTTTTGTTCTCACTGATCAGGTTCTATTTCCTTCTTTATTTTTATTTTATTATTTTGAATTCTTTTCGTTTCGACTGTTTGATAATTTCGTTTAGTAAATTTCGATGGAATGAATTAAATTGATGCTTTATACTTCTTTGCTGTGTTTTTAATGGCAATAAAGTTTTCCAATTAATGCTTAATGAGTATTAGGATGGAAGTAAACTTTACGGCTCGTCAGTTACCTTCTACGAACCTTATACGAAGCCACTAAGCATTGAACAGATGGAAAAATTGGAGTTAATGAATGAAACAGTTACACGCGGAACGGTAGAGGATGCTTCTAACACTAATGATCCAGCTGAACAGGTTTTTCAGAGCTTTAATTTTTTTCGGTATTTTCTTGTTACTTACGATTTGATCCATACGAAGAATATTACTTCAGATGACATTCCATAGCAATATGTCAATTTGCATCATATCAAAATATCCATTTTTCAACGCATTCAAGCGTTTTTTGTTTTATCTTCATCGCATGTCCTTGTCAGGTGCACACTCTGTTCCCGTGGAACGTTATATTTCTCACCTTGTGAGTTTTTTTTCATATGAAGTAGTTTTATTCTGCTGAGAGTTTAATGAGCTGAATAAGTTTATTTCACAAAGATTATATCCATCTTTTTGCGAACTTCACATAGAATATATTTTTTAGCATATTCCTTATGTTGTTATTACTCCTTTTGTAAGCCTTCTATCCGAACTGCCAATAAAATGAACTGAAGCTTCATTTTTACTAATAGCATCTACTTCACCGATAAAATATTTTACAAGCCAAATCGAGAATTTTTTTTCTAGTCCAAAATATGTTGTTTTAGCTCTATGAAGTGTCGTTTCCATCACCACGATGTCCACGTGTACTAGTTCAGTTGGGTAACGAAACAATTTCATTCGAAAGTCATGATGATTCGCAATTACCCCTGTCCGGTGCTGCTTTTTTCGATACTCTGAAATGTCTAGGACCACAAAATTTAATGTATGAATAACTATCAGATTAATATTTTTTCGTTTAGGAACTTTTTTCAAGCTGTATAAAATAGTGCATTGCAATATATACAGGCAAGCTTTTTTATTTAAACGAAATTATGAAATTTCGGAGCTATACGTAAATTTAGGTATTTGATGCTGCTTGCGTTGCTGGAACAGAAAATATTAGTTCATTCCTTGCGTCCTTGGCTACTAACGGCTGTTGCGGAAAGTGTCTGTGCTTTAATGTTCCCATTTCATTGGCAGTGTCCCTACATTCCTCAGTGTCCGCTTTCACTTGCTGGTGTGCTTCATGCTCCACTTCCGTTTATTGCTGGTGTTGATTCCAGGTAGATAAATTTCATGATAATTTTGAAAGGTAGTTAAATATTCAAGTTAACTCTCGGGTTCTATATGTAAGAGTTCAAAACTCAGATTTGTTACACTACTTTAAGTAAGGTAAGGGTTTTCACAGTTCAGTGGAAAATTAGGCTTTATAGTTTGCTAGCTGAAATCTATAATGATTTCTCTTTTCAGGTATTTCGACCTCTACGAAGATCCACCCTCTGATGTTACTTGCTTCGATCTCGACACTTCGACAGTCAGTTTCTCTTCTGTTCGACAAACGTTGAAACTTAGCATGCTTCCGAAGGTTAATACCGTGCATAGTCAGTTTTTATTGCTTTAATTCATTGTCTGGATAAAAAAACGTTTGAGGAGGTTTTTTGTCGGTATTATTCATAAATTTATGCCGTTTAATCGAATTTTGTTTTAGAAAGCTTCACGACAACTGAAGAGCAGTCTTGAGAAACTTCATAGACGACTTTATCAAGAAGAATTTAATGTAATCGCTTTGCGAAAAAACATGGATTTCATGCCATTGGATATTGATTATGATATACAACGTAAGAAAAGAATGCTTGAAATCAGCGTCCAGGATGCTTTCCTTCGGTAACGATTATCGCTGCCTTGCAGTTATTGTTGTCATAATTTCTTTCTTTTGTGGACCTTTTATGATTTACCATATTCCAGGTATTTTTAGGTCAAGAGGATTTCTGATTGAGACTAAGGAAGCAGTTTGATGGCACTATAGCTGATTTTTATGATTTTACTTTTAGGTTCATGGCTTCTTTGATGCAGGGATATACTGCTTATCTCAGACCCATCCGTTGTGCTCCGCTTTGTGTAGGAGCTACTGATACGGGCTCGCTATTTGATCTTGATGCCTTCCTTCGCTCTCGTGATAAGTAATTTATTTCTTTGAACGTTAAATTTGCCGCATAGCATAATTTTGCGTATTATATTGTTATTTTGAATGAAAATATTTTCAGAGATAATTTTTCAGGTCATCACTGGAATTTTTCAAACGCTTCAGCGAAACACAATCATTCAATCGTTTTATCGAGGAGCGGTCGTTTGTTTCTGACAAAAATACTTATAACGCATTCTTTGATGAATGTATTGCAAAAATTTCTCAAAGTGGTAATTTAATTCATCAGTATATGTAAATGCAAACTATTTATAATTTGTTAAATTTGAAAGTTAGTCTGGTGCTGGTCTTTAATTATAAGCTAATGTCAGTATGAGAGTTAATAATTGATCTATGAGCCATTAATCTATCATATGGTAAGATTGATAAATGCATCATATTTATTACATTTTTTTAGATAATCGGTCATCGAATGATTCTCTTGTGGAATATGAGATGTCAGCGAGTTGTCAGACGGAATTCGTGCCTCCTCCAGAATCTACTGTGAATCCGGATGGCCAAGAATTGATCTATAAATATGAATGTTTTCCAAGAAAGCTTGAACCAAAGCTGTTTCAGCTTGAAAATTTACGCAAAATTAGTATCGAAATGAAAGGCTCAGCTACTAGCAGTGGTAAGTAGTAAATAAGCTACAATTGCTACCATATATATTTTCAGCAGTTATATTTTGCATAACCTTTCGTTTATTTCACTCGAACTTCTAGATAGCTTGGAGAGTGCTTTGATTCGTACAAAACAAGAGGCTCGAAGTGCCATTGAAACAGCTGTATTAAATGCCCGACATTCACCAGTTACATGGCCAAAAACTTTACTTTTTTATGCATACTCTGTTTGGTTCATGCTGCTACCCTCACTTGTTCATCTTGCAAAGTCAAAAGTGAAGATTTTGCGACTAGCACTTCATGTAATCGATTTTGCATTACCTTTTATTTTTTTATGATTTTACATTATCTGCTCTCTTTTTATAAGATTTGTTGAAAATTTTTTTGCGTTTGCTAATTTCTTGTTATTAATTTATGCTTCTTGACCTTACTGTTAATAACTTACGCTAACAGTTCACTTCATCTTCGAGAGATCTTCAGTATTTGTGAGATTAATATTACTCATCTTTAAATAACATGTTTTGTATTACCAAACTATCTATTTTATTTGTTATCAAACTATCTATTTTATTTAGTTTTTGATTGCTTTTAAAACGAGAAATTATGATTTTCAAATTCGTTTAGATACTAGACAGAATGGAATATTCGGGTATTATACCTCTCGATCAAGTATGCTACCGCATTGTGATACAATTATGTGGCGATTTCGGGCATCCTATTCTTGCTGTTAAAGTCCTTCAAGCAATGCAGGTAAGTTCGTGAAATCTTCCTCAAGTAGAAATGATATATTATTCAAAAATTTGAATAATATGTCACGTTTCATTTTGGAATTTCAGAGAAGTGGTATGGAACAGAATGCAGTGACATATGGCATCTATCATCAAGCGGTTCTGAAAGGCGGTTGGCCAGTGGGTGATCGAGTTGAAGCTGTAAAAGCATGGAATCGCTTAGCAATTGTAGTGCGAGCTCTTTCATTATTTAAATTGAATCTGTCGCTGGCTTCAAGTCGTCGTTCTCTGCAGTTCGGTTCGGTTAGCTTTACTGGCTTCGTTTAGCTTCATCAGTATTTCACTTTTATGAATTACTGTCCAAAATGTTTTGCAGATATCTGCTGCTGATAGTTGGTCACATAGTGAAAATGCATCATGTGATAGTGCAGCGAAAGAAAATGAACCAATTTCTAATGAGGTAGCTTCATTTTTAAAACTCCACAGGGAAATTTTTTATCATTTTTAGAAATGGTTTTCATATTTGGCTTATCTGATTCGCAGGAAATTGAGAAACGAATTATATGTTTTAAAAGGACAGAAATTTTTTTTCTATGGTTATATTTCTGTAAACTGATGCTATACTCTTGTAAATTCAGATACAGACATCGGCTGATTTGAATGTGAGTGGAGGTGAATCAATTCTGGATCAGTCATCACAGTTGAAGCATACCTTAGTTGGTTTTTAAGTAGTATCTTGATCATCACTTTAATCGATCATTATTTTTTTTCTGATAAACTAGCTTTGATCATAGTTCTTCATTGTTATATAACTCATTTTAAGGTTCCGTTCTCAGAAGAAAATAATTCAAGTGATTTATTAATCGACCCGTTGGGGGCTATGAATATGCCGCAGAACTTATCGGCAACGCCAAAACAAACTGGTGAAACGATGAGTCCAAGTCGATTACGATTCATCAAAGAGCATAGTACTTCGCCATTTGCTAATGAGGTATTTTTTTTTCTTCGTGTAACTGTTTTCGGGCATGTATGTGAGTAACCAATAAATGGGTAGATGGAGATGACATTACTTGATTTTTTAAATAATTAAATTTATTATTATAGTACTGTATCTCAAAGAAGCGAAAATAGAGGGAACTACTTATGTTGTTGTAAGTTCCTCTGAGTGAGTGGACTCGTAGATAAGCTTCAATATGTGCATGTTTAATTGCTAAAATATGCACTGATCAGTTTGTTTTTCAGCTGCAACATGATGAATCGGTGGATTCAAGATTGAATGAAAAATCGAATTCGTGGCTTCGAGGTCTAACAAGCAGTCCAATTGTTAGCAAACTTATGCGCAGTAATACTACAAGTATTTGTTAAATGAATTTGTTGGAATCACCTTTGAAAGATTCTTTCTGCTGATTGGGGTCACCACTTCGTTTTAAATATGTAATGATGGCTGAGCCGAATGAAATAACATCGCTTTTTTGTAATTGTGTTGATTGGAAACATGTATTTGCCCAATTATGGATTACGTGCTCAAAAAAGGATTTTGGTTTTTCAGATAAGTCTGGAACAGTTGTACGTTTTCACGCCTATGACTTGTCAGAGATTTAAAGTTTATTGTATCCCGTTTGATTTCTGTGGGTAGTTTATTGGGTTTTCGATAAAGCTTACCACTTTACCAAACTCGAGCCATCTAAATATATAGAAATTAAGGCAATTTTGATTCGCCTTTTGACAAAAACGATTCGTCGCTCACTTTATCACCGAGTTTGGCATCTTTGGTCAATCACATGAAAAAAGGTTATGATGATGTACTGCAAGCTGGAAGTTTGTCATCACGTCTGCGTGAAGGAGTCAATACTTTGGTGAATGAAGTACGCAGTTTAAACCGTTCGTATATAAAGGACGTGGGCGAAAGTATTCATAGTTCACAACGTGAAATCAATGAACAGTCGGACCAGGTCCAGATTTTATTTCCTCCTGATATTTCTCTTGACTCTTTCAAAATGCTGGCACATAATTTTTTCTTGTTGTTAAAAATTGCTCCAGAGAACTATTTTTGAATTTCATGTTTTTTCATTTTCAGTTTTAAACCATTTCTGTATTTTAGCAGCTACATCTGAATGACCCATTATTTCAACTGGATTCCGGTTCACATTGTTCACTGCTTCCATCAGATTGGTGGTTAGCTGACCAGATTTTCGCTTCCGCTTCCACTCAACACGAATTTGTCGATGTCGCGATCTCCTCCGCTTCTCTCTGCCCTGCTTGCAAAATGGTCTATTAATTCTTAGGATTCGTCTCTTACAGTTGACATTTTGTTTTTCATTTAGAAAGTTGTTCACTGAGCTCAGTATTTTTTTTTTCAATAATGTCTATATTAAACCTATAATTCTTGTGAATTCTAGGTTGTCTATGATGAAGACCTGATGTCAGGATGGACGGTTGATGAATCAAATTTGAATACGAATTGTGTCTATTGTGATTGTGCTTTTGTTCCTTCGTTGACCATTAAAATTCATCAACGGGAAATGCCGGTGGAAAGTAGTTGGTATTTGCCATCGTCCTTCGCTGTTAAAACTTCAGATGATGACAGTACATTGTGTTGTAATGGAGATAACGAATCTATAGCCAGTCAACTCTCAGTTAGTGCTTTAAATTTTTTCCATAATTTTGCAGTCATTCTTATTTTTTGCAATTTTTTAATGATTAATTCTTGTATTTTTAGGTTCCATTTTTAAGTCCACTTGTTTTACGTCGCGAATTGGAGAATTTATTAAGCGGAAATTGTTTGCTTCCTGTATATTCGTCACTAAAGCACTCTAATCCAATTGTCTTCTGGAATGTTCTGTATTATTCTCGTCGCTTGTCTTTACCCACGCATTTTCCTAGCTGGCTTGGTCAGTCAGTTCATATACGATGTGTTTATGATGTACCAATTTTGCACACAGAATTCACTCCACTATTTTTCGTAAACCCATCACACAAGGTTCGTTGTCTCATTAGGAAATCAAGATTGAAACTTATTTTAGTGGAAATATTTCCTTCATTTTAATAGCTGCAGTCTTCAAGAAATTGATCATTAATTCATGAATTACGGTGCATGTGTTTGATCTAAGAATGTCATAAAACAATTTTTAGGATGGTTTATTACCAAGCAGTGAGCGTAGTGTTAGCATATGGCGACATGTGATTGCCGCTGTACAGCAGTCCAGTATTCTTCGCGCATTACAGGTCATTTTATCTGAAAACCGCAATGCCATTGACAATGGCAAATTTCCACGTCGATTTCCATTGTTCAGGTATTTTAGACCATCTTCATTGTTTCGTTTAATTTACACCAATATAGTTATATGAAGTTAATACTTGCTCAAATGAAGAAACTATTTTTTCTCGAAAAAATCTAAAAAATAGCCAGTTGAATTCAGCTGTGTATTTGAAGTACAAAATTAACTGCGGTTTTTGCACTGTTGGAATTTACTTCTTTATATTAGGTACACTCTTAAGTAAATGCGACTATGTAACGTATCATTTTAATGCTCACATCATACTCTGTTTTCTGCCAATTGTTACCTGTTTATATCGTATTTATTTTAAACAAAAAAAGTTATATTAAATAAGAAGCGAATTAGAACAATTTTTTTATTTGACTAAAAAATGACCACAAAGTAACGGACAACTTCTGATATCAACAACATTTTTGGCCCATTAACACACAACTGTATAGTGCAGTCGCTTATCAAAAATTTTTACGAAGGATATAAGGGCTTTGAAAATAACGAGCTTAGTTATCGGTCTTCGGAAGTTAGACTGTTTTAACTGGGAACAACAACTAACTTGAAGTAACCATCGAAACTGGTTCTGTTACAACTAGATGAGAAGTTGCCGAAGAATTCAATGTCAGTAGAAACAAATTGGAAAATTGAAAAGTGAATACCACATTAGCTGACTGAATCAAAACAGTTGCTATTTTAAAGTGTTACCTTCTTCAATTTTGCGTGATAACAACGAATCATTCCTGATAGAATTGTGATGTGCAGTGAGAAACAGATTATATGACAATTGGCAACGATAATTTCAATGGTTGTATAAAGAACCTTCAAAGCACTTCCAAAGCTGAATTTGATTTTAAAAAGCATAGTCACTAGTGATTTGCTACAATTAGAGCTTCTTGAAATCCTGCAGACCATTTTTCAGATATATGTTTAATAAATTGGTGAAATGCATCGAAAAATGCAGCTTTTTTAGATTGAATTAGGCAATAAAAGGGGCCCAATTCTTTCCTACGACATTACCAACTATATATCGGAAAGTCAGCACTTCAAAAACTGGAGGAATAGGACTATTGAATTTTGCCCAGTCTGTAGCCAACTATCATTTCATTCATACAACTTTTTGCAATAAAAATATTTCCAGGAAAAGCACGGTGTAAAAAAAATGCTTTTTTATAGTTATCGAATCCAGAAATACTGGATTTTTATCTCCCAAAAATCAACAAACTTTACCACTTATTGATAAAAATATGATGATTGTCAATGTTTCTACTTTGATTTATGCGGAAATTTACAATTGGAACCACAAATACTTTTCCATTAACATGTTATATGGAGCCAGTGATAAAGCCCGCCCCATGCTGTTGTTTTTATTCTGAAACTAATTACGAAAGAAGAATAACAATAAAATGGAGATGGGACAGGGGAGGATAGTTGTAAACTCAGGAAGGCAGAAGGGTTTAGATCCATGGTGCCTGCGTTGTGCAATATTTGTTTCTTTCATAAAATTTTAACTTTCAATTAAAATACTGATGCTGCATTTAAATGCATCAGATTTTTTCAGAGACGTTCAGTTTGTGGCATTGGATAAATATGGTAGCGCAGTTGATCGAGACCAGTTGGATGAGCAATATCTTTCCGATTTTGAACGCCTCCCACCTCGGATTCTATCACTACTGCCTTGTTCTGACTACCCTCCCAAAAGCCTTTCCAGAATTTGCCGAAAAATCTTCCTACCGCTTGATGTTTTCTAATGTATATTTGATGTATACTAGTCCTTCCCTTCAAACGGTTTTTAGCTTAATCGTCCGCACAACTAATGATCGTCACTTTTTTGCATTTATTTTAAAATTAATGATTGCTGAAAGATGGATGTTGCGGGTCATAATAAAAGAGCGGATATTTATTGATTATGTTAAGGAAATACTATAACCACTTTTTCTAGGATTTTATTTCAAGATCCCCGATTTTTTAGCGTGTTGGTTGATCGATCTCAACAACTAATTGATTTGATGTTGTGTTTGAATAGGAGAAAAAAATGTTTCCACAGATATTCCGCATTTTTGAGAGTCGCCAAACTGTGGCTGCGGTTCCAATATTGAGAAGGAATTCGGATATCGAGAGCCAAAGTTTCTATAATTTCATATGAGGAATAATGGATGATGGATTCTTGGGCAATGATATTTGTTCGATGTATTTTGGGACTTTCTAACTCGGTAATAGAAAGATCTCCAGTGTGTGCTAGTTTCTGTTTGTCGAAAATTTATCAAGGAACAGAATATACAAAGCCAGGTGTAGGCGGTGAGCTTCAAAGAAAGAATGAGGGTGTCAGGTTCATATATGTGTGGGAAGTTTTAAGAGTACAGTATTTGTGTAAACTACACAGTACTATACATTGAAATACGTGCTGAAATGTTTGTTATAAAAGATAAAGTTTTAGTGTGGTCGAATAGTTTCCAGTATTTTACATTTCACACTGCGGTGATTTTAAATTGAAATGATTTATGGCGTAGTTTTAGGAGGCTGTTGATGGCTCTTGCAAAGTAAGGATAAGATGAGATGGAGGTGCAATATATGACCCAGGAAATTAGAGCAATTTCAATTCATATGCATCAATCAGACCAAAGAAGAAAAAAAAAATGATGAGGAGAAAAGGCTTTACTGTTGAAAATGAGCGGGCGTCAGTTGTCTCACCATGACTAGAAATAACAACAAAGAACTTCCATCTTGTGTCCAACTTCTTTACCTTTTTCCTCTCCTGAAATATGCTTACACTGTTAATTTCTCCCGACTGATTTCTAATATTTCCAAATGTTCCATTGGATATGTTAATTAGTAAAAGCATCATCTAACTTTCTCGAACTTCTGATCGACATCATATATAACTGCTTTAGAAGTAACAAACATCTTTAAACAAAGTTGTTTCTCCTCAATAAGTTCAACTAAATATTTCTCATCAGCAAATAATTAACATTCTACCAAATTCTCACTTTCATACATTTAAATCAAAATAAAACGATAATTTAAAAATAATGCCTTTCCGTAGAAAGTCGTCTCTATTCAAAAATATTTTGAAATGTTGAAAAAAAATTTTCTAACTTCTCAATGATTTGTGCAGAAAAGTAAAAAACTTGAAAAAGTGTTGCTATTTGAAACAAGAAGTGAAAGTGAATATCTAACATTGTCTCAATAACAATAATATGATCATGGCCTTAGCTTCGAGAACAAATCAGATTAATCGATATTAATGTAATATCTGTATAAAGTGATGGGAAGTGAAATCACTATAAGAAAAAAAAGCATTATTTATTAAAATTAGTATGGCTAATAAGTAAGAAATTTGATGCTTTTTTTCAACCATCTTTTACATTTTTAGATTTAAATCTGTCTTTTGCAATTTATTCAATTCACAAAATCCTTAATCCAAATAAAATTTTAAACATTTTTCCTATGCCATATTGAAAAAGATAATTTCAAAATGATTGGATCTAAATCTATTGGAGTATATGTTCTCAAGCATTTTGTTCAATGGAATAACAGTATCCGAAGATTCAATTTACATATTAAGCACAATTTAGTCATAAAATTTTAATGACATATCAAAATTGCACATTAGCTGATGGTGAAACATTCAAAAATCTTAAAGCTAAAAATAATCAATTTTATTCCATATTCAATCGGGAAGCCCTATTGAACTTGTAAATAACATTATAAGCCTCAGAAATTGTGCTAAAGAGCTACTTTTCTAAGTTACAAATTTATTAGTTTATAATTGAAGATCACGAAGTGCACATATGAGAAAAACATCCGTGGACAAAACTTGTAAAACCGATAATAAATGCATTGTTTGCTTGAATGTCTATAAACCTTCAGAGATCCTGGTAATAGTCCTTCTCAGACTAAGTTAGACTATTTGTAAATGAGAGTTCTTTACATTCCTTAAAAGTGTTCAATTTCGCTACTTCTAAAACTAAAATCAAGTAATTTTTGTTGTATTTAATTAATAATTTAGTCTAACAACTTTTTTTGCTTGTAAACGACAAATCAGGAATAAGATTGCCAATATATTTCTTGCCAATTTTCTAATATACGAAAAAAAGAGAATATAAACTTAATGGAAAGTGAAGCATCTAGTCATATCAAATGATAAGATAGTATTGATTATTTCGTCAACACTGTTGTGATTCTGAAAAGAATTAAGTTATTACTAAGCTTGCTAACAAAATGTTCCACATCTTGCGAAAAAAAGCATTTTGGAGTTTTAATAAAACATTTAATCATCAATTAGCAGGTGAATCAGTCAAGTTTATTTCTCATAAACCAAATGGAGTGATAAAATCTTTAGACATGTGCTTCTATTAGATGTCTAAATCTCAAATCCAATTGATTTTGAATGTCATTTCTAATTATCTTTTTCTGCTGTTTGCTGATCCTTAAATACAGCGAAACTTTCCACCTGTCATGAGAAATAAACAAATGAAAAATTTTTAAGTAACTTTTTTTTAAAATAATACTAAGAAGTATTATTTTTAAAGAAGTATTATTTTTAAATAATACTTCTTTATCAACATAACACTACTGGTGAAAACATTTGATATTTTGCTATTCCGATGATTTACACTAAGAGATAGAGATTTCATGATAAGGTTCATATCAATTTCTTGAACTCTTCGACAGGTATCGAGAGTAGCTATGGCAGGATGTACGACGAAAGTTGAAAAAATGAAAAGTAAAGGATTGAACTTTTGCGCGCATATCTGTGTGCATGCATGTGTCTGTGTGTTCGTATCTATGTGTATGTGTGTTTGTGTGATGAGTTCAGTCTAACCAGCTAGGTACGCTGACGAAGTTCGTGATAACTTCGTACAATCTTCTTAGCTCTATCGCTAAAATAACTTCAGGAAATGCAGCCAAAC